TCTGTCATTTTAGCGTGGATCCCATTCTGTGGGCTCTTCTGATGCTGACCTGAGACCAAAATAACTATGCTAGGCTCTCAAAATTGGGCTAGCAAAGTTCACTTTATTATTTCTGGAATATGAACAAGCACCTCTTGTCTTAAAGTGGAAGACAAGTTAGTCACATTCCTTATTCATCATCAACAGACCAACGTTTACCGAGTGCCTATTTGTATGGGAGACTTGGGTCACTGAGGGCTTCCTTGGGTAGGCTTAGTCAAAAATCCAGACTTCCCTTGGGACCAGTGATACCCATGGCCAGTGATGAGGAGGAGGGCCAGGTACTATGATGATGTACATGCCTAGTCCCTACACCAGGGGCTATGTGTCTTGCATGGCCACCTACTATATCTTAAGCACACAGTAGGAAACTAAGTCTTTCTCCAACGGAGTGACTTCAGGACTTCAGTGACATCCAACTGGAGTGAAGCCATCAAGATGTGTGGCAATATTGTACCAGTGACCACTGTTAATACTAACCTGGGATACATAGCTCTGTGTTAATCACCATGCCTAAACCCATAGCCCCATATGTTCACGGATTAGAATCCCATAGATTTCCTACACTAGAGCAAACAGTCATAGTGCTAGTTCCCATTAGGGTTCCTGTACCCCCAGCTGGCATTTTCAGAGCTCTCCACTGGGTCAAAAGAAGACTTGCTTTTGGAGATGGGACAGCTGCAGGGGGAACAAGGCGCTAGTCCTCAATGGGGGCTCAGATCAGTGGACAGAGACAGCGTAGAGCTGAGTGGTTCTGCAGACCAGAGTAGCAGGCAGAGTAAATCACAGCCAGGAGTCCCCACTTTCTGTCCCCCTGCTAGTTCACCCAGACTAGGTACATACAGGTCAGCACAGCCAGGGAACGGTTCTTGGATGCATTCTCCTCTTTCTGGGCCACAAGTGAGCTGTTGGGCTCTGCTTGGTAGGCACACAGTGCTTCCCACTCCTTCTCCAGTCGGTTCTTGTTCTTCAGATGGTCTTCCATGTAGGCCTGAAAAGGATACACAGAGTCAGGGCATGGGATCCAGGACTGGGACAAGTGCAGGGCTGGAACTAGGGCAGCTTTGCTTTGGGCTCAAGATGTGTGTGATTTCCCCACCCAAGGACCCAGCTTCAGCACTGAGACCAGAATTGTGAAGTGCACTCGAGCAGAGGTGATTGGCTAGAGAAGAAGGTAGATAAGACTGGTGAGAAAATGTGTCCAACTGGGGGACTGGGCCTGCCATAAGACTGTAGTATTCGTCTAGGATGGAGAGGAACAGACAGGAACTAGGGGCCAGGTCAGTGTGCTGGCTATGCTGAGGAGCTGGAGAGCTTGTCTGAGGAGGAGCAGGGTTAGGGGGATGTCCACAGACTGACAGTGGGAGCCACAGGAAACTTATGAGCAGGGGCAGCTGGGTGTGCGCTTGAAAACCTCCCTGAGAGCAGCATTCCTCAGATCAAGGAAGACAAAGACACAAGTCAAATGAAGTTATAGGAGAAAACAGTAATGCAAACTTAAAAACAGGACTAAACATAGCTACCAAAAATCCTGGGGGATGGAGCTTATCAAGTGACACCCTGCATGGCAAATCTTTCATTTTCTCCTCTTTCTAAGAGGACCATTGGTTCTTAAACTAGTAATCATTGGAGTTATCTACCTGAAAAATAGCAAGTAAGCTGCTTGAACACCACTTTGTAACCTGCCAAGATCCTGCTGGAAAGCCTCTGCGTAGATGCTGAAGCAGAAACACAGCCTTAACCAGGCCCTCTGGTGAGGAGGCAGAATGCTCAGCTTCCCAAGGGCTTGGGAGGGACAACACACACTGGGAGTGCCACTCAGTGCATACAGACTCCTATTTAGTGAGGAGCTATGGTGTTATCAGACAGTGCTACCAACCCACCAGGGACAGACACAACACACACTGGCATGGGAGACACTTGAAGTGTTAGTGCACATGCAAACGTGGAAACATGGGGTCAGGCAGCCATCTTGGGTCAGTCAGTCCATGGTGCGAGATAATTGTCTGTATTCTGTCAATCACATTTTAAATAAATGCTGATTGGCCAGGTAGGAAGTATAGGCGGGAAAACCAGACAGGAAGTAGAGGTGGAGTAAAGAGAACAGGAGTATTCTGGGAAGCAGGAAGCTCCCTCCGGCAGTTCTGCCCAGACCACTGAAGAAGCAAGATGTGAGCTGCCCCTCTGAGAAAGGTACCAAGCCATGTGGCTAACAGATAAGAATAATGGGTTAATATAAGCTACAAGAGCTAATAAGTAGCCTGAGCTAATGGGCCAATCGATTTTATAACTTATGGAGATCTCTGTGTGATTTTCGTTGGGCCTTACCTGCTGTGGGGAACTGGGCAGGACATAAACCCCAACAAGCAGGCCCCTTCATGTTACAAGTCCAGAGCCAAAGAACTCAGACCCACTGCTTTTGGGTCTGCCTCTCTCTCCATGGGGGTCTACACAGAAGTTGAACTTTGCTGAACCATTTAGACCAGAGCTGCTAAGATCTGTGCTAAAATCTGAATATCTCAGGGGCTAACCGACACGAGCCAGAGGAAGCAGAGTTAGACCCTGGATCGTCCCAGGCTTCATTGTCTTAGTACTTGCCAGTGAGCACACATTACTCTTACTGGTGGCTGAGCACACAAAGTCCTCTGACCATTCCCTGCCACCGAGACATTGTGTGGCCTCCACAGTTTACCAATCCACTCACTTCTGAAAACAGGAGACCTCCAGGAAGATCTGCTAAGAGGACCAACCCAGCTAATGAGGGATGGAGTGGTCCTGTCCTCTAGAGTGTTGTCTGTGGTTCAGATGAGTATAGCTCAGCTTTCCTTTCCTCCTCCCTGCTCTCTTTCCTGCCCCTTTCTGTTCTTTCTTGCTAGGCAAGTGCTCTACCATTGAGATTGATCCTCAGCCCCGACTGTGGACTTTTAGTTTGCTATATGCTATATGCAGACATAGGTTTTCAAATGTGACTGCACAAGAAAAAAAAAAGATGTGTACATATGTGCATGCCTGCACACACATGGCCTCTTAGTATAAAGTAGCCAGCCCCCAATAGCTAGCCAAGGGCTCAGTCTTCTTACTCCTGCCCACTGCTGAAGGAGCCGCTGCAGTCCTCCCAGCCAGTCCTCACTGCTAACACACACTCCAAGTGACAGGTGGCTTAGAATGGAAGGAACTCCACTCAGCTTCCTTGAACCTTTGACAGAAGTGTACATGGATCCATCTAGATATTAACTGTGCCCTGCTGGGCTACTTCCCTGTAGTCCTGTGCCCTGGGAGTCAGTGGGTACCTCCTTGCGGTCCTGTGCCCTTGCTGGGCTTCCTCCCTGTTGTCCTGTGCCCTGGGAGTCAGTGAGTACCTCCCTATGGTCCTGTGCCCTGCTGGGCCTCCTCCCTGTGGTCCTGTGCCCTGGTAGTGAGTGGGTATCAAAAAACTCTATAGGGATCCTGGAGATCCTCTAAGCCAAGCTGTTAGCTCTGGTTGGGTACTGAGGCAGCCTGCTTAGAAGGCCTCTTGCAACTGTCTGCACCTTGAGTCTCAACAGAACACTCTGCCAGTCTGTCTGCCCTTCCCACACACTGTTGGTCCTCAGGGCGCTCTGGCTTGGAGCTAGAGCCTGTGAGACAGAGTGATGGAAACCTGGGCAGAACCAGAATGGAGTCACAGCCACCTTCCCTGGAGACAACTGTGGCGAAATCTGGGGAAATGGCTCAGCTGGGAAAGAGTTCGCCAAGCATGATGGACCTGAGTTTGGACCCAATATCCATGTAAAGCAGCATGGTGGTGTGACCCTGCGATCTCGGTGCTGAGAAGATGGAGGCGACTCGCTAGCCAGACTTAGTCCAGTAAAATTGGAAAGGTCCAGGTCCAGCGAGAGACCCTGCCTCAAAATATAAGGTGGAAAGTGGTTGAAGATACCCAACATCATCCTCCAGTGTCCACACTTACATGTGCATGCACACTTACATGATGCATACATGAACACTAACATGTAAATGTGTACACATGTACAAATACTTGCACACACATGAATAACAATAATCATTGAGGAGCATCAAAGGTATATTTTTGTACCCCAATTTTTCTTTAAAATTCTTATTGTGTGTATTAGATGTGTGTGAGCATTCTTCAATGTATATGTGGAGGTCAGGGGATTTGGCTCCTCCTTCCACTGTAAGTTCCAGAAACTGAACTCAGGTCATTGAGTTTGCACGGCAAGAGCTCTGACCTGTTGCACCCTCTTCGCAGGTCCCTCTCACCAGTTCCTTAGCAGGGTAACATAATCTTAGCACAGTGTAGCCCTTCAGTTTTGTGAAATACTGGCAGGGTCATTGAGTCCAGACCTGGTGTAGGGACTAAGCGACAGGGCCAGTTAGGTGTGTAGCCTCAGAGTATGAAATGCTTCCTTCGTTCTAGAAGAAGGCACTAATGACTCTGGGCAGAGAGGCTGACCCTGGCTTTTCTTTAGAAAACCCTTTCAGGAAACCTATTATCAACAGCGGCCCTTTTTTTGTGGCAAAACAATAGCTTCTACGACAGGCCCTGGCAGGATCGCCCTGGTCCTAGGTACCATGTGTTGAAGTGTACCCTGTGAATTTTATTCATGAGAACCACAGCTCTTTAAATTGTACAGTCAGCTTCACCATGGAGTCACAGCAAGTTCACTTGAACTTCCAAGTTCAATGCAGCCTGAGCTCTAGGCTTCAGCTTGGGTGGTGGTGGCGGGGGATGAGGTAGGTCTTGACTGTCATTTCCTCCTGAGAATTCAGTCATTTTTCGACAAGCTTCATTGCAATGAAACCAATCTAAGGTTTTCATTCTCTCAGCAAGCACTGCTCACCAGGCTGTGCCCGGCCCCACACATCTCTGTTTGATCAGCATTCCCTATTAATATTTATATTTATATGGAGCATGGTTCATGGGCTGGAAGTGATGATCATGTCTCTCATCCACATTCTAGGCTCTGGGATGGTTTACCTTCGTGGTCACCTTGGCTGGATTTAGACTCACCTAGAGGATATACTGCTGAACATGCCTGCGAAAGGCAGACTCATCGTGAGCCTGGTGGCACCATCAATGGGCTGGGGGCCCAAACTGAGAAAAGGAGAAAGGGAACTAGTGCCGGCATTCCTCTGCCTGAGACCCTGGTCTTCTGAGATGTGTGCAAGCAGCCTTACCCTCCTGCCACTCCAGCTACCATCTCTCTCCATCCTGATGGACTACTTCCTCAAGCCACCAGGCAAAACAAACTCTTCCTTCCTTAGGTTGCTTTCTGTCCATCATTTTGTTGCAGCAATTAATATGAAGTCTTCCTTTCTGGTTTGTGGTTTGTGGTAAGAGTCTGCGGGGAGGCTCAGCCTTTGTAGTGAAATAGCATAATAGATTAAAATGATCCGTAAAAACAAAAACAAAAATTGCTGTATTTTTGTCTGTCCTGTGGCCTGCTCGTCCAGGAGGAGCAGTGAGACCAGAACAGATTGGGCAGTGTTTTCAGACCAGCCAACTTCTGGCTGCCAGGCCAATAGACTTACAATTTAACTGTATCCACACTTATTCTGTAGAGGGCATTCAGGCGTGAGTCTTTTTAAATGGCCAGTTGAACATCTTAATTGCATGGATAAGCACAGAGGTGAAAACTGTACAGCAGGAGACCTTTGGTTTTGGTGTATGTACATGTTCACATCTGGGTGTATGGGTGTGGAGGCTTAGGGTCTGTGTCCAGTCTTTCTCAATCATTGTCTATCTTATTCTTTTAGGCAGTCTATCCTCACTGAATCTGGAGCTCATTTGACTAGACTAGCTGGCCAGTGAGCGCCAAGGATTCGCCTGTCGCTAGTCCAGGAATTCCTGGCACGTGCCACCATGCCTGACTTTTATGTGGGTGCTGGCATTCACACTCAGACCCTCATGCTCGTATGGTAAGCAGCTTACCTACAGAACTATTTGGCTAGTCCTAGGGGTTTTGTTTTTAAATTGCGACTTTCTAGTTATATAAATAACCTAAAGAAATGAATAGAAAATAAGGACAGAAAGAAACAAAATACACCAGCAACCAACACCAAGGAAGAACACAACGCTTTAGTCAATTCTGCTTTTTCTGATACGTGGGAGGGCTGGTTGTGTTTGCTGTTGTTTTTTTGTTTTGTTATCTTTAGTGCTGACTGCTGTAGTTAGGTTTTAATTATTTGCAACACTATGGGGTTTTTCTTTTGAAAATGAAAAAATGCTCATATCACGCATATCGGGTTTGATCTTACATATGGGAGAGCAGATCCTAGAGAGATTAAACAGTTGACTGGGAATGTCCCCAATCTCCAAAGCTTCAGCCTGGTCTCAGGATCCGCTGCTGAACTAGTCCTAGCCATGGTCACAGCTACTCTCGTTGCTTCTTCACAAATCAGTGTGAGTGTTTACCCAGTACGGACAGTTTCCAATGTTTCAGAGGGTGTCTGAGTCTTGCAGAGCTTTCTACACTATCTGCCATTCCTTGTTAACAATCCTAGGAGATATCTTTGTAAATTAAGCCAGTAACAATTTAGTAACAACTTAGTAACAATTTAGTGGCAATAATTCAGATTTTACCTTGATTAGATCAATCCCAACACTTGATTTCTTTGAGAAATTTTACTTTTTTCCTTTAAAGGACACATACTGAGGCTCCTTTTTCTTGACACATTCAAGTTGGCAGCATCATTCCTGTGCTTTGGGCTATTACTAAGCAGAATACTGCTTACTTGAACACCATGGTACTGTGACAGCTGATTTGATATTAAGAAAGTGACTAGCAGGTAGGCTGTGTCCACAGGGGATATACCAGACAAGAGTGTGATTTGCCTGGATGGAGTCAGAAGGCTCAAGTTTCCATCACGGGACTCAGAGGGTATCATTTAAAATTCTCCAGTGATTTAATTTTGTACACAATGTTCTCAGACCACAAATGACTGCAGGTAGCTGTCACTTAAGAAATGAGAGAGGATCTGGGGTGTTGATGGCATTTAATTCATCGAAAAATCCCCAGGGGTGGGTCAGCATTGTTTGCTGATCAACTTCCCCTTCACTTGCTGGTTTCCATCCCACAAGACTGCAGTCCCTGCTGTCTTCTGCTTGAGCAAATCCATTCAGAAATGGAGGCCCAGCTCAAAACCAGCTCTGCGCTCACCTTTCTGACTGGAACCTGCTGTCATGCCCTGTCCACACAGCTCCGTATGACCTTACTGTCTGTCCTGGCTGGTTTTATGTCAACTTGACACAAGTCATCAGAGGAGGAGCCTCAACTGAGAAACAGCCCTCATAAGACCAGGCTGTAGGCAAGCCTATAAGGCATTTTTATTAGCAATTCATGGGGAAGGACCCAGCCCATTTTTGGTGTCGCCATCCCTGGACTGGTGGTGCTGGGTTCTACAAGAAAGCAGGCTGAGCAAGCCATAGGGGGTAAGACAGTAAGCAGCACTCCTCCATGGCCTCTGCATCAGCTCCTGACTCCAGGTCCTGCCCTGTTGGAGCACCTGCCCTGACTTTCCTCAGTGATGGACCTGAAGTGGAAACTGAAATAAAAACCCTTTCCTCTTAAGTTCCTTTGGTCATGGTGTTTCATCACAGTGATTGTACCCTGACTAGGACACTGCCTTATGATTCTGGAAGTTATAATCACCACCTATCCTATGATATGGGATCTTCATGTCCTATGTTCTGAGTCCCACCACCATCTCCCTGTGACTCTCATGTCTTGATCTAAGACTTGCTGTTAGCCCATGGCCTTCTCGTCCTATGGTCTGGGACTTGCTGTTAGCCCATGACCTTCTCGTCCTATGATCTGAGACCTTCCATCACCTCATGACCTTCTCGTCCTATGATCTGGAACCTTCCATCACCCCATGACCTTCTCGTCCTATGATCTGGGACCTTCCTTCATCCCATGACCTTCTCGTCCTATGATCTGAGACCTTCCATCACCTCATGACCTTCTCGTCCTATGATCTGAGACCTTCCATCACCTCATGACCTTCTCGTCCTATGATCTGAGACCTTCCATCACCTCATGACCTTCTCGTCCTATGATCTGGAACCTTCCATCATCCCATGACCTTCTCGTCCTATGATCTGAGACCTTCCATCACCCCATGACCTTCTCATCCTATGATCTGGGACCTTCCATCACCCCATGACCTTCTCATCCTATGATCTGGAACCTTCCATCATCCCATGGCCTTCTCGTCCTATGACCTGAGACCTATTATCACCCCATGACTTTACTGTCCTATGATCTGGGCTCTGCCCTCATCCCTAGGATCCCAATCTTATGACTCCAACCAGGCACCAGTCTACGTAAAGAATGCCTGTTCCTGTCAACACACACCCCCTGCTTGGTTCTCTCCATCTTTTCAGCTTTCACCCTTCATGAAACCAACCTTTCCTCAGGGAGATTGGTATTTTGGCCACTGCAGAAAGTGTTTGCTGGTCACCTGGGATTCCTATGACCCTGTTGCAGACTAAAATTCTGTATTGATGACGGATGCCCTCCAAATCCTCTGAAACATAAGACTATAAGTTTCAGGGAATACAGCAACATAAGTTATTTGAAATGTTTCACTATAAATTTCCCTTCTGACTCTTCCATTCAGGCAGTCCAGGAAACAGCTGCGAACCTATGGCTCTTGTCCCAGCACTCTCCTGTAGCCCTGGAAACACAATAATGGCCCTAAAAGCTCTATTCCAGAGCCCTGCTACCCCTAAGGTTTTGTCTCTGATATGCTCGCCTCTTTTTAAAAGTCTGTCCCCTTGCCCTCTCTTGTTCCCACACCTGCTGCGGCCGTACCTGTTCCTTAAAATCTCTCAGATACTTTCAAGTCTATTTGTACAGTCTGATTCCACGTTTGCAAGAAAACATCAGTGTCTTACTTTGCTTAGCACAATGGTCTCGGGCTCTACCTGTTCTCCTGTGAATGACAGGATTCCATTCATTCTTTGTGATTGAATGAAACACTATTGGAATCTGAAGGGCACACACCTAGAACCCAGTTCAGCATTTCTCTAACTTTGAGCCCACTAAGAGCCTCCAAGACCACTGATTCAGTCTTCTTCAAGGAGGGCTGTCCATTCTTTTAATGTTGGGTGAACTTCTGAGTGTTAACTAGAGCCATTTTCCTTACAGTTAAGTGTCATGTAACTGCAGGCAACAAGGCAACCTCGGCAGTAGAACTGGGACATTTTACTTGACAGCAAAGATGTTTCTGTATCTCATAGTGGAAGACTGGAGCAGCAGCCAGGAGGCGGTGCAGGCCTAAGTTATCCCTGGTGCTGCTCCTACACATGGCAGCCGCCTGGGCACCCAGGAGACTCAGCACAGCAGCAGAATGGAGTCTAGGGGGGATCAGCACTAGGCTGGCCCACTGAAGGTCACAGACACTGTGCTTCTTTGGAGGCTCTTAGCCCTCACTGTGATAGAAGTGAATACTTAGGAAAGAGTTATTGCTAGCATCAAGTAGAATAATGAAAATCAGCTCATTCCTTGCAACACAGCAAGGACAGAGCAGCATTCAGAAATAGGCCCACCAGGACCCACCTGGCACTATTTCACTAGTCAAGATACACAAAGAACATCGATGTCAGCATTAAATGAGGCCCCTGGGATCACAGACAGTGAGCACATAGAAACTTCCCCCGCAAAGCTTCATTCTCCCAGTGACTCTGCAAAAAGCAAGCATCTGCCCACCTTGGGGAAAGTGTTTTTTAAAGCTGAGTTTTGGTTTGGAGCAATTAGTACTAGGAAAGCTCAGCTTCCAACCCCCGCCTCGCCTCCCCCCCCCCCATTTTTACTTGGGAGCCCATTAGGGCACAATGCCCTTTAATTGACTGAAGCTATGGTCAGACCTTTTGTGGCAGAATACAATCCGCTCATGTTTTCTGTGACAAGACAGGGAGGGTAGAGCTTTAGTGTCACAAGCGAGGCCAATGCTTCTGAAAACAAGGAGTAAGACGCATCGATGCCATTTGGGGGAAACTGATGACCTTTGTTTCTTTAAAAATAAACACTGTTGCCTGTCTTCATTAATACATTGAATGGAAATATTCT